ATATCCCGAACTATTTTGGTAAAACTTCCAATAAATAAATTTGTTATCGTTTGAAGCAGGAACAGGAATTAAACCGAAAAGAACCGGTTCTGGAACCGGAACCTTTTAAATAATAGGAACCGATACCGGAACCCAAACTTTTGTTTTGATAAATGAAGTACCGGAACCTAACCGAATTTTTAAATTATAAAGGTTCTTTTAGGTTCCAAAATTAAATAGTTTTATTTAACATAAATTATTTGTAGTTACTACTTTATTTATAAATAATCAGGGTCCATTCTCATTATGTTTATACCTAGAACCTGTGGTTTATTTAAGGGTGTACTGTGTAAACCCAATACGCTATTTTTATCCATGGCGTGTAGCTTATGAGAAATTAATGATACGCGGGTATATGGCCGTATCTAGTTATAGCTTAAAATTTGACAAATATAAATAATACAACTTGTAGTTATACGTATGACGTGATTCGGTATTGAATATATTATTTTTCTTTTTTTAATGAAAAATTCAAATTTGTTATCATTTAATATCAAGTTTTTGTTATCAAAATGTCATAATTAATAACCAAACATACGTACACGGTAATTTTGATAAAGTAAGGGAGCGCCTTTATTTGCCCTCAATATTCTTCCTGTAACCCTGAAAACCAAATATGGTCAAATGTCTTAATCTAACCGTTATTGACTGACGACTTAATTAAGAATTAATAAGCTTTTTTTGTGACTTGGGTAATTTGACTTATATTTTATATATATTAGCTTATTGATAACTTTAGTTTAGTATTTGAACTTTGAATTATTGCTTATTCTCAAAATGGAGTTGATTAATAAAGTTGGAAAAAAGAAAACTAGTGGCAGTAAAAATAGGAAGAGAGCAAAAGAAAATAATCAAAAAATAATACAAAACATAGGCGTGCGCACGGGGTATGCAGGGTATGCCGCTGCATAGTCTGCGGCTTCATGTGAGGGGCCCATATTTATTATTAAGTTAAGAAACTTTGAATTTAATTACCACTACAGGAAATTTAAATCAATTAAAGCTTGATAGTAATGATATTTCAATGTTGAAGGAAAAATTTAATTTGAATACTACATTTGAGTCTGAAATTAAGCTCATTACAAATATGTCTGATAGAACTTCTATTAGAGGGTCATCAACTAAAACATTGTAGTATGGCTGAATTGGTTATCAGAAAACGACCGGAAAATAATATTTTCAAACTTCAATAAAGCTTTAACACAATTTGCAACAATACCTGTGACAAGCTGCTCGTGTGAGAGGGACTTTTCCAAATTGTTTATTGTAAAGTCTAAACTTAGAAACACTATGTTACAAGAACGTCTTGATTCACTGATGTTAATATTTATCGAGCAAAAGATGGCATCAAAAATCAATATTGAAGATGTAATAGATGAATTCAAAGCATGTGTGCCGATAAAAAGAAGATTTGAACTTTAGATTTTACGTACTCTCCATAAAATAACAACATTATAAATATGTTAAAATTATTCAAAAGCATTCAATATAGTACATACTTGATCTTAAATAAATAATAAATTTTTTTTTAATAAATATAAATCAAATTTCAAACTACTTATTTCTACAGTGCATTGTTTAATATTCTACTGTAAAACTATGTGTGATTTTAGATTCTAAGGGAAGTAAAGAAGCTAAGTAGTATATATGCAAAAACTTAGATTGTAACTTGAATCTCACATGCGTTAAAAGAAAATGCAAATAAATTAAGGGAAGATTAGAAAATTTATTTGTGAGGGGCCCTATATTTCTTAATACATAACCTGCGAATAAAGTCTGCGCACGCCTATGATACAAAATACTTTGCTTATTTCAAAAATTCCTAAATTACAAAATTATTTTTTTAAATTAGAGACAGGTGGGTACAAAAATATAATTTAATAAATTTATAGTCAACTAAATAAAATCGAAATTAATTTAATTCTGGGCCTATATTTATTATAATAAAATCACTTAAATTATTGTTTAGTTGAGAATCTTGAAATTAATAATAGTGATGATCCAGATTCAATCAAAATTCCTAGTTCTAGTGGTATGTACCTTTTTTATATTGTATATACATTCAATTTTTAAATTTTTAAATATTTTTTATTTTAATTTTAATCTATTTATGTTGTGTATTATCAAAAAAAATTGTAGTCTTATGTTTATTTTTAGTGGAGACTAAATGTTTGGAAACGATTAATAATATTGATGGGCAGATGCTGATTTCGGGTTCTGATAATAATTTGTTAAAAATAAAAAAATATTTATTATTTAATTTACTTGTTTTTTAAGTTATTGACCCTGATACAAATAAAGAGTTGATAAATTTGAATATACAGGCATCAGAATTTAATAACCTAGATGAGATTGGCATATATAATGTAAGTATTTAATAATTTATGTATTTAATTAATATATTATATTATATAAAGATACTTTCTTAAAATGCATTTTATTTATTAATATTAATCTAACAACAAACTTTTATTATTTTTATATATCATTAAATATCTTTGACAATAATACAAACAACAAAATGGTTAATATTTTTAAATAATAACAAATAATTATTGAATAATTATATATAAATAATTTATTAAAACTAACATTTTCAATAAAATAAATATTTGTAAAAATAAATAATATAAAAAAATAAAAATATTGTCTTGAATATTATAGAAAAAGTACTAAAGAATATGACTGATTTTAATTCAAAAAATCATCGTTAGGTATAAAAAGTACATAACTGACTATAATACTAAATTTTATAAGATCAAAAATATTCGGATGTATAACACAGTGCTAAAATGGATTTTAAATAGTAACACAATAAATTATTTAGTACATAATAAAGTATCAACTTGTTTAGAGAACATCAAATTTAAATCAACTTTGCGTAAAATTGGTAAATATTCTCGGTATCTTCCTAAGCAAGTATTTACCAGAGAATTACATAATGGTGAAAACAAATCTAGCAATTGGGTTTTATATTCTTGTTCAGAAAATTCTTTATACTGTTTTTACTGTCTTCTATTTGCACAAAATGATATAGCATTTAGTAATGAAGGTAAAGGATTTATAAATTAGAAAAAATGTTTAGACCATGTCAAAAATCATGAAAAAATCAAATTCATTTTATATCAGTGAAATTATGGTTCTCCAAACAATCTAAAAATCTAGAAACTATAGACAAGCAGCTTAAAATTGAAATACAAAAAGAAGAATCATATTGGCAACAAGTATTTCATCGTTTAATTGAAACTATTATTTTCTTGTCATCTAGAGGACTTGCATTTGGAGGTAATAATCAAATCATAGATTCTGGTCACAATGGAAATTATTTAGGATGTTTTGAATTAATCGCTAAATTTGATCCACTTCTTTCTACATATATTGATAAGTATACAAATAAAGGCGAAGAAAATGTACCTATCATATTTGTCTAATACCATTTGTGACGATTTAATTTTATAATGACTAAAACTGTTTTAGAAAATATTGTACATGAAATTAAAATTTCTAAATATTTCTCAACTATTGTAGACTTTGCTCCTGATATTTCAAAAGTTGATCAACTTACAGTCGCAGTAAGATATATACTACCAGATGGTTCACCTGTTGAACGTTTTTTTTAGTTTTTTACCATCTGTCGGTTATAAAGCAAAATATATGGAATTGACTATACTTCAAATTTTTTTTGATCTTGGGATTGACATCAAAAACTTTAGAGGACAAAGTTAGACAATGCTTAAAACATGTCTGAAATTTATAATGGATGCAATCCCGAAAAAATTATTTTCATGCTTTATTAAAAGCATTAATAAAATATAAGTTCCACATTTCCATCGTTAGAAATTGCACTTACAATATTTATATGCATGCCTTGTTCAAATGCTAGTGGCGAACGCTCATTTTCTGTTTTGAAAAGGGTAAAAACATACCTCCGCTCATCATTAGCAAATGAAAAACTTCATCGTTATCACTTTTGTATATGGATTCTGAAGTTGTAAACAGTATTGAGTACTTTAGTCCAGAGATTTGTCAAAAAAAAAGCAAGAAAAAAATTATAAAACATTGTTTGATATTTTTATGTATTAATTAATATGTTAATGATTAATTTGTTATTATTATTTTTAACTGAAATAAATTAATAAAATTATATTATATTGTATATTATATTTTAGTTGGTTTTCGTGGTGTGGTAATATGGTGTCTCATAGATAAGAAAACAATTAGTAGAATAATTATAAGGTTTATGGGGGCGAGAAAAAAATTTGTCCCAGGGTGCTGAATTACTTGACACGTCTCTGAAGAGGAGTATTATTATAGCACAACACAATTTCATAAAAATAGTGTAATATTTGGTTAAAATTTTATTAACACGTATACCAAACTTCAACCAGATATTCGACAACAACTCGATTCCGCAAGAGCTCTACAAATTTCTGAAAATAGAAAAAAAACTCGTTCCAATTATAAAAACAATTATTTTATGTGGCCGACAAGAGTTAGCACTTCGAGGGCGAAATGATTCGGGTCCTCTTGATTTAAATATTGTTGAACCTGATCATAATGATGGTAATTTTAGAGCACTGTTGCGTATGCGAATTTCATGCGGAGACAAACAATTAATTAATCATATTGAAAATCAGTCTTTAAACGCTATGTACATAAGTCCTAGTATACAAAATAATTTTATTAAGATTTGTGGGAAAATAATTCAAAATAATTTAGTTTGTAAAATTAATGCAGCGAAGTCGTTTTCGGTTCTCGTTGACGAAACTACTGACATATCACGCATAGAGCAATTGACTCTTTGTATTAGATATATAGATTCAATAGAGACAACTGATACTATTAATTATGTTTTACGTGAAGACTTTTTACAATTTGTACCGGTTCACAGTACAACTGGTTAAAATTTAGCCTCTGTAATAATAAATTCATTACAAGCACTTGGAATTAACGATAAATATATGGTCGGTCAGGGTTATGATGGCGCTGCGTCCATGAGTGGAAATCTTAAAGGCGTCCAAACTATTATAAGGGAAAGTCATCCAGCAGCACTTTACGTGTATTGTAGTGAGCACTCTTTAAATTTAGCGCTAGCTCATTCGTGCAATGTTCAATACGTCAGAAATTGTATTGGTACAATAAAATCTATTGGAAATTTCATTAAAAGTTCGGCTATGCGGACAAATATATTAAAAACTAAAATAAAAAACATTTTACCTAATAGCAAGTGGAATAAACTGACATCAATGTGTGACACTCGTTGGGTTGAAAACCACAACGGAATTCAAAGATTTGTTGAAATTTTCCAACCCATTGTTGAAACTTTGGAAGAATTACAATTAGTTCAAGACATCAATACGTCATCAAAATCAATTCAATTTTATCGAGCAATAGTTACTAGTGAATTTATATTAAGTATGGTTACATCAAATACTCTGTTTTCCATGACACTTCCACTGTGTAAAAGTTTACAATCAGTTAGTTGTGACTTAGTAGAAGCTGTACAACATATCGAGAAAATACTAAACGAATTAATTCATTTACGTGAAAATATTGATCATACGTTTAATGACATTTTTGAAAAATCTGAACTTCTTTTAAAATCTATTGATGGAGAAGAAAATATTAGAATTCCCAGAATAGTAGCTCGTCAACAAAATCGTGTGAATATTGTTACTAATTGTCCGAAAACATATTTTCGTATAGCTTTTGCAATACCATTTTTTTGATGATTTTATAAGACAATTAAAAGAACGCTTCACTAACCATAAAAAAATAATATCTTCGCTGTGCTTTTTACTTCCCAATAAATGTACTAATTCTGAATTAGAAGCAAGTGATTTCGAATTATACTCAGAGTTTTTAGATTTGGATGCACTTTTGAACGAGTTAAAACTTTGGAAAAGAAAATGGTGTGATAAACCAATATTAGAACGATCTCCTGAAATACTTGAAGCATATTCAAATTGTAACAAAAATTTTTTCCCAAATATTTCATTTTTATTAAAAGTTTTGGCAACTTTACCAGTAACTACGGCGACACTGGAAAGAACTTTTTCGACGCTGAAAAGAATAAAAAATTACCTAAGGAATGCAACTGGAGAAGACCGATTGACTGGCCTAGCCTTACTCAGTGTACATAGGAATATCGTTGTAGATCCAGAAGAAATAATCAATCGTTTTTCAAATGAAAAACAAAGAAATATAGAGTTTTTCATATAAAATATAAACCATTTTTCAAACTAAATGTATAGAATTAAGTTTAATAATCTAATTAATATTAAGTCTAAAAAATTTTTAATGTGTATTTCATTAATAAATACTATTTATAATTCTACAATATTATGAATTTTTAACCATATTTAATTACCTACACAATATTATAATACAATTAGAACACACATTTTTGGCTTACCCCCCCCCCCCCCCCGAAATTAATTTCCAGTTACGGCCTTGACCGGCACTACCCATGACAGCTAACATGTTAATTAGATTTTAGTTTTTTTTAATTTTAATCATTATAAAATTTATTGATTACGATAAAATTTGACTATAACTTTATCTATCTACGGTATATATATAATTCAAATACCACTTAGTCAGTGATCGCTGTTACACAAAACTACGCAATGTGCGAACTTGAAATTTGGAATAGAGGTTCTTCTTATATTTTCACCGTGCAATAAAAAACGATTTAAAAAAATATTGCGTCTAAATGGAGTAATTAACAATTATAAATATTTACCGCTAATACGTGTTGTGCAGCACAGCATGGTGGTCAGCGGGTATCTGCAACCTATATACTATATAACTGGCGCGCCATGGCGTGTGGATATAAATTATTTCTAGAAATTTTATTTTATTTATTTATGTTTTTATTTTTTATTGATTCATACAATCTATACAATTTAGTATAATAAGCATAAGTGAGCATTCGCGTTTCTGCTGTCGCAGTGTTCGGTTGTGTTCTTTTCCGTCTACTCTTATCGCAGCTATTATTTATATTTATTTATTGTATCTAATTGTTAGTGCATTTTAATTACCTTTATATGTCGTCGTCTTCGGATGGCGACTCACGGTTGGGTAAATCACCTGCTCCTAACAAAATAAAACCTATTTTGACTTTTAATCGTGCACTTGACTTCAGCTATACCTGTCACCTCAAAAAAAAAAAAAACGCACGTAAGTTAAAAGCCAACTCATTCTCTCCCAAGTCCCCTGAACTTCAACAAATTTTAAACAACGCTCCGATGTTAAATACTTCGGCCTTCGATTATAATAATCTCGTATCTACGGAAAACAGTACGTCGCTAGACTCGATCATTAACAGCTTATCTTCTGATAATTTTAATGATCCTACTTCGCATTCCACCACTGGTGTGATTTCAACGCCAATTAACATTTCTACGTATTCTACCGATAATCCCAATGTTATTGATATGTCGTATCAACCTACACAACAGACCTTCACTGCTGATTATAACGGTCCCGTCATGATACTTATTGATGCACCGTTTTTAAAAAAACTTAGGTAATTGGCATCCTATTAAAGCAGCCAAATTTTTTTCTACTAATTTCACCGGTATAATTAACATCAAAACCGCTGGCGCAAAAAAAAATCAAGATTATTTTTGACTCGATTTCGAATGGTAATCTATGTTTAACTTCCGATGTTTTAATAGAACATGGCTTTACAGCTAGTATTTCTTCGAACCTTATATACTCTTTTGGTATAATTAAACTCGATCCAGACGTCTCTGAGGACGATTTTTTGGATGGAGTCCTATCATCTTTCCAAATCGTAAGCATCAAACGTATATCAATCAAAAAAGATGGCAATATCGTACCCACATGCATCGTTGAACTTAAATTCTTGTGTCCCAAGCTATCTCAATACATTTCGGTTTACAATATGATATTCGACGTCCATCCAAGCATTCGCTCTCCGGTACAATGCAATAGATGTTTACGTTATCGGCATACCCAAAAATTCTGTCGCAGTGATCCTCAATGCAGCCATTGCGGCGGTTCCAAACATTCTATCACTGATTGCCCATCCATTCTTACCACAGACCCGACCTGTCTCTTCTGCAAACTTCCACATGTTGCTATAGACCATAGCTGTCAGGAATGGTCAGCTCAAAAAGTTATAAAAAAAATCAAGGCTACTGTAAATTTATCTTATAAAGATGCTTTAGAATTTAAAAAAAAAAAATGTTACACCTTTGCTATATATTGGTGGCGTGGCAGTAGAAATCCATCACTCTTTTAAATCTAGATTAATTCCTATTGAAATGACCACTAAAGATAATTTCTATAAACACAAAATTGACGTTTTAGGGGTTGAAATCGTTTCGGATTCCCAACCTCCTCTAGATATATGGTCCTGCTATATCCCTAGTAGTTCCAACGTTCCTTTTAACATCTGGATTTCACTTTTCAGCCTGATCTCCAGCAATTTTATACTCTGTGGTGATTTGAACTCCTCCCATCCCACTTGGGGCTCTGTCTCCGCATCTCACCGTGGAAACATTATTTACAATATCATCAACTCACTCCGTTTCAGCATACTCAATGATGGCAGCCCAACACATGTCGGACGGCCTAATTCCGCCGACTCGGCTATTGATTTATCTTTCTGTTCCCCTAATTTATATTAGAACCTTTCATGGCACACTTTGTGTGAGCCTTATGGCAGTGATCACCTTCCCATTATCATAACAACTATCAACAGGAGCCTCTCAATTCTTAATCTTTCCAATCAGCATTTAACCAATAACTTCACCAGCCCTATACTCTACAATTGCAATAAGGCTAATTGGACCTCTTTCTCACTTAATATACACGACACGCTTTCTCAGTCTTCCGAGGACCATACCCTCCTCAATTCCTATTCAAATCTTACTGAAATTATAATAAACGCTGCAAAATTGACAATACCAGTCAAATCAACCAACCACAAATCCCATCCACCCGCCCCCGCCCCCCCAGTGGTGGAATTCGTCCTGTACCGAGGCCGTCAAAACCAGATCTTTACATTTTAAAATATTTCGTCGTACAGGTTGTCTATCTGATCTCCTTAAATATCGTAATGTGAGTGCCCATACCACTCGTCAGCTTAAAAATGTAAAAAGAAACAGTTGGAAAAACTTCTATTCCAACATAAACCTTTCTTGCTCAATTCAATATATATGGGCCACTGCCAGAAGGTTTAAAAACTGTGTAAGCCTCACTAAACGCCCTGACAATGACAACTGGTTCGATAATTTTTGTTCTAAAGTCTCTCCGTGCCATGTCCCCACCGAATCAGAAAGTCGTCCCCGATGCTACCCTCTCTTAGCTCACTCTCATGTTCTTACCAACATTTTTACGTTGTCCGAATTAAAGTTTGCTATTTCCTCACGGAAATTCATAGATTCTGGACTCCACAACATCTCTTCCGTCGTTAGTCTCTTTACTTAATATACTCAATAACTTGCTAGCTACACAGTAGTTTTTTATCTTCTGGTGCTCTTACAGAGTTATTCCCATACCTAAGTCAAACTCAAATACATCGTTTCGTCCAATTGCTTTATCATCTTCACTATGCAAAGATTTTGAGTTCATGCTCATAACCAGACTAGATTGGTGGCTCGAATCTAAATCTATCTTGCCTCCCAACCTCTTTGCCTTTAGAAAAGGTTTGGGTACCATGAAATGCCTCTCAACCTTCATTAGTAATATATATCACTCCTTCAACAATAAGGAATTTTTTGTTGCTACTTTCATAGATATAAGGAGTGCGTTTGATTCTGTCATTATTCATATTCTCGTCGATCACATTATCTCTCTGAACGCTCCTCCAATATTTGGAAACATCTTACTCTCCCTTTCCAACAAAAGAAATCTTGTTTTCTCTTCACCTTTCGTCTCTTCTAATACTCGTTTCACTTTTACAGGTATACCTCAAGGGAGTTGCCTCAGTCCGCTGTTGTTTAATATATACATGAGCAAAGTAGCTAATAGTCTTTTTAGGTGTAGTCACAAATGCCTTATTTACGCTGATGATATGGTCATATTCTCATCAAATAAATCTCTTCCTCTCGCTATAGAACTCTTAAACGCTGCCCTCGTTGATCTTAAAATTTTTTTAACAAACATATCACTGGAAATTGCTCCTGAGAATTGCAAATCCGTCATTTTTACTCAGCGCAGATATTCAAATTACCCTAATATTCACCTTGATAATCACCACCTTTTGATACCATCGTCACCTACCTAGGCATCACTCTAGACATGAAATTACGTTGAAAATCTCATATTTCTTCGTTTTCCACAATCACATCTCGCTGGGCTAATTTTCTCAGGACCGTATCTAGCACGTGGTGAGGGTCTCATCCTACTTGTCTGTTATCCATCTATCGCTCTATCATTTGTTCTAAATTAGATTATGGTTGTTTTCTCTTCGGTTCGGCATTCCAACTAGAAAAAAATAAATACACTCCAAACGTCTTGTCTCAGAACTATAATGTGGTATATAATATTGACATAAGGTCCACCCCTGGGCCGGTTATCGAAGTTGACTTGCAGGAAAATTCATATTAAAATCTTTAGCTCTTTCTACCCATATTATATTTGATACCTTCTATTCCCTTTTTGTCACCTGGCGTTATATACCCAAAGCAATGCCCGTCCTCTATTGCAGCTAACATTCTTTCCAACTTTCACCAATATGTTATAAATTCAAATAAATTTCCACTCTATGAGCATCCTTACGACTCTCTTCTCTTTACCCCTGCAGTTCAAATTATTAATTTCTCTGATTTATCTATCTCTGAACTTAAATCAATGCCTAATTCCTTTGTCAATAATTCCTTTACAATTACCTCCTTCTCAATTTTTCTAATTTCATCGTCATTTATACTGATGGCTCAGTCTCTCCCCTTTCTGCCGGTTATTCTTTCTACATACCTGAACTTCATGTTTTCTTCTCTAATAATCTACCTCCTTCTTCCTCTTCCTTTACTGCTGAGTGTTACGCTATACTCGAAGCTCTTCGTTTTATCTCAAACTTAGCTCCTAATAATTATCTAATTGCCACCGACTCTGTGTCCTGCTTACAATCTCTTATATCTAATCCATTTAATTCTAAACTTTCCCCTTT